CTGATTAAATGGATTAGAAGCAGCCTCCAAAGAGATCTATTGATAGAGGTTATGTGTATTTTGTGTCATACCTATCCAGGTGAATACATCAACTCAAGGTTCCCTTCAGTAGACAAAAAATAACCACACTGATTTTCCTTTTTTAAAAAAAAAAAGTTTATTTATTTATTTTCAGAGAGAGACAGAGTGGGGGGAGGGCAGAGAGAGAGAAAGAGAGAGTGAATCCCAAGCAGACTCCACACTGTTAGTGCGCAAAGCTCGATGCGGGGCTCGAACTCACAAACCATGAGATCATGACCTGAGCTAAAGTTGGACGCTTAACCAACAGAGTCACCCAGGTGCCCCGACTTTCCCTTGTAATACATGTATTGATTTCTGCCTGTTTCTTAGCTATGTTCAGATTAGCCTGGGCTTTCCTCTCAGATACATGGTTAATGTTTTCTTGGGAAAAGAGCTGAGCATTAAGAAATTAAATTAGATACACTAGCATAAGAAAGCAGTACTTTTTAGACTGGGCTATTCTTATATTGTTTATATTTCCTCTTTCCCTTACTAGTTTTGCTCAGGATTAGTATTGAGTGAAAGTAGTTTGGAAATTTCTATCTTAGGTCAAAACCAAATGGGAAACATTTGTTCATAGTGTGGCAGAACTTTGAATATGGGACAGCATACTACTTGGGGCCTGTATGATAATGAAAGCAGTCATTTGGAGGCAACTCTGGGAAGGATGAAATGCCTAGGGAGATAATTCAGGTTGCTTGGTCTCCTGCTCTTCATCACATGTAAATTATCTTTCTAATGCTAAATCCTTTTGCTTTGTAACAAAAGATGGCAATTTTTGTTTCATTGTATTACTTAAAACATGGGCAGTTTTAGATTACTAAAACTTGATGCTATTTTATTGTTTGTGAGAGAAAACCAACATTGGAGAACTTGAATAAAATCAGCCATATGACAGCTGTGTTAAAAAAATAGCTAACTTATCATGGGTGAGATATTATGCTAAAAACACTAGACATGATTTATCTCACTCCACTTTTCATTCAATCTTATGAAGTATTGTTATCCCTATATTACAGATGCAGAAACCAGGGATTAGAGTTTTTAAATAACTTGCCCTAAATCATAATATCAGTAGATAATACAGTCCAGATTCATTCTCAGGCCAGGTTTCAAAACCCACTCTGAAATATGTGTACTGACTTGATACGACCTGCTTCTAATTGTTCCAAAAGAGAACTGAGAGGCATAGTTAGATTACACATGAGGTATGATGATTTGTTGACACACTTACATCAACTGCCTCTAACACTTTGATTGTCAAATTGCACGTTGAAATAGATTCTGGGGCGCCTGGCTGGCTCAGTCAATTAAGCATCCAACTCAATTTTGGCGTAGGTCATGAAATCAAGGTTAGTGAGATCAAGCCTCTTGTCAGTCTCATCACTACACCGTAGAGCCTGCTTGGGATTCTCTCTCTCCCCCCATCTCTCTGCCTCTCCCCTGCTTGAGCTCGCTCTCTCTCTCTCTCTCTCCGTCTCTCTCAAAATAAATAAATAAACATTAAAAAATATACTCTAAAATAATCATATGTAAGAATATGAAATGGAAACAATCCAAACCCACAAACCACATCTTCTATTCTGTGGCTATGCTAGGATAGAAAGGGATACTATAACATTAAAACAAAGCAGAGTGTTTTGTGAAACATTCTCCAAGTGTATGAAACAATTGTTTTAATATTTTGAGTAAAAGAAGCACATTTTAAAATTTACAGGTGGTGAAATTGGTTGCATTTGAAAAAAAATACCTGAATATTTTTAGAGTTTCATTTAAAGAAACCAATGTGTTTATCAAGGATGTATTTTGGTTTTCATTTACCAATTGATTTTATTTGTACTGATGTACTTACATGTGTTAATGAATATGTTTAGAGAAAAACAATATGCAGCACTAGAAACATTTGAGCATTTTTACCACTAGGCCTTGATAGAAAGCATGTGTGGGACAGCATCTGTCTGCATTTAAGTTGCACAGAACCTGGAGGAAGAAATGGAAGACACTAAAGCAATAGCTATAGGCTAATGTTACAGATAGTTGGACATATTTACACAACACAAAGTGAATTTATTTTGCAGTGGTTCAGTTTAAGACAACAATATGGACAGCTAAACTGGATATCAGGGTTCATAAAACAAAGTATTTGGCTTGAATTCTATAGGGTGGATTATCTATGTTGCCCATGTTATTTAGACGATTTTGTAAAACACTCAAAATAAGCTGTATGTCTCTGTACTGAAATGATTTCATGAATCCTCTTAAGTATTTGGTTTTTATATTAAATATTTTATTTATAATAGGAGTTCATTCTATTATTTCAAACTTTTACCCATCATATGGCTTTATTTGTGTTCTAAAGAAAGAAATGCAGTATCTCTCTTTATCACAGAGTAAGAGACTAAGAAGCTGTTCGTTTTGTTTGTTTTTGCTACTAGAGTCAAAATAGCTATATCTTTAGAAGAGAGTAGATGCAGGCAGCTCGTTTTTACGTCCTTAACTTTCAAACGAGATTGAGGTAGGAGCAGAGTCATCAGAAAGGAGGGAATTCTGAAAGGAACAGAGATACTATCATAGAGGAAAAAAGGAAGCTTAAGTGTACACAAAGAAAGTTTAAATTACTTTCAGCTAATTAGTTAGCATTCCATTTTATTTATTTTTAATCTTTGCACATGTGAATATTACGAATCCCAATAGTCATAATATAAATGCTGTGCATTTATGTCCCTTAGCTTATCTTTTGGCTCTTCTATTACGAATTGTCATTTTTAAAAGCCTTCTTTAGTGTTTGTTTTCCTTCATTCCAACTTACTCTTTACAAACATTTCTTATTTTCTGTCTAAGCAAACCTTCCTAGTATTTTGGCCATAATTTGAAAACTATGAAATTTTGTGTTTATATATATGTCTTAACCAACGGACCCAAATATAAGTGTGTTCAGCAGAAAGGGGCAAAATAGCCCAGCTAAGGAAAACATTTTATTTTATTTTTCCCATGATGGTAGCTGAGTTATTCAAATTCTGTTATGAAAAAAAAGTGTATATTTGCATGGGTGAGCAGTTTTTCTCTAAAAATAATTGGCACTGCACAGACACAGAATAAACTCAAGGAAGGCATTTTAAAATAAGACCATGTGGACATATTTTACATGTTCATAATGCTCATCATAGACGAGTGATCAATTACAAAATAAAAATAAAAATAAAAATAAATACATAAATAAACTATACATAATATAAATGATCCTGAAAAGAATATTCTTTACTAGGTCTTTTCTCACACTCATTAATTTTCTTACTCTCAGCGAACATAAAACACTTGTCACTGCTGTGGTATTTTATCAAAAGAGAGCCATCTTTGTATCAATGTTGACTTTACTTAAATAGTAACAGCAGTCATGCCACTTCTCTGTTAAAAAAAAAACTTTTGGAGATTCTTCTTTCTATAGAATATCATCTATGCTCTGTTTTTTGGTCCCTGTCTACACCTCCCTACCTCACGCACTGCAAAGTCAAATCAAGGACTCTCGAATATGAAAACACTAGCAGGTCTCAGCTGTTTCTATTCTGAAGGGTTCCAGCTGGATTTCACATACTTGTCGCATATAACTGTCTTATGCTCAATGATTGACTTAAGAGCCATCTCATTCATGAAGACTTTTCATTGCCTCCCTCATAGCACCCACTTCTGTGGAAGGCATGTAAGTGAATACGGATTTGGATTGAATTCACTTCTAGACCCTTTAAAATACTAAAGCTATATATAAAGTCACAGATCTATAGCTGGAAGAAATTTCAGAGACAATATAGCTTAAACTTTGCATTTTTAAATATAGAAAACCTTGGCATCCCACCCTAACTATAGTATCCTGGGCACATAGTTTACTTAGGATAAGGTGATATAGTGATAAAATTAAGTTTAAATCTTCTTAAAGTTTCCAAAGTAGAAGTCATTAGTTTGTATTCTATAGGATAGATTATCTAAATTGACCATATTAATTTCTGTAATGAAATCCTTCCTCATATCTTCCTACATTTGTGTTTAGTTTTGATATAGTTATTCAGTTTCAAAAGGATTCCTTTCTAGTAGTTTAAAACGTAACCCATAATAAACCCTCAAATAAATGCTTCTTGAAGAAAAAAGAACTTGAGTTGGTCTTTGAGCATAAGTAATTCAGTCATATGTGCACAATCTGGTAAGGTAGATGTGGATTCAATCTGAGGAATAGTATTTCCTATCGTTAATAATGACTTTTCCTAAAATTTATTTAATTTTGTTTTACATAGGAAGACCTCCAGTAAAAGGTGGTAATATTTTCATATCTCACATATGACTGGGCCAATTAGAAAAAAATTCAGTAGAGCTGAACAATCTCATTGATTGCTAAGTCTATCTTTTTACCAGTTTATCTATTCTGAATACAGTGTTATCTTTCTCATGCTTGGTATGCATAATCACTACCACCACACAGAGGCTCTATAAACAGGACAACCACAATCATAAACAGGCTATATAAACAGGAAAACCTATGTGGTATAGTGAAAAGAGCATTATCTGTGTGAGAATCTGACAGACCCAAAGTTTTCAAATTAATTAGTTATAGAATTTTTTAATCCATTATCTAACTTCACTGAATCTCAGTTCCTACATTTTTCAGAATAAATTAAAATATTAACCATGGTAAGGGATTAATAGAAGAAATTTATGTAGAGGTCCTGTATAGGCAAACTTCCTCTTCCTATGTGTGTCTCTCCATACTGAAGCAACTCATTTGTCTCTGTTTTAAAGCATTATAGGTTTTCCCTAATTAAGATTTTATTGAGTGAATCTTGGGGAGAAAAAAGAATTCTTCCATATTTGGAGCAGCTGCTATGAACTGTGAATGTATCTCATTTGAACTATTATTAAAAAAAATAAAATATGTGATTTCTCTTGCCTTTTAGGAGCCTAAGTTGCCAAAGGATTACCTTGCACAAAAATCTATTTTTCTCCTTTGTTTGTAACTCTGTTGTAACAATCATTCATCTCACTGCAGTGGCCAACAACCAGGCTTTAGTGGCCACAAATCCTGTAAGTAAAATGAGATTGTATCCTTAGGTTCAAAGGTTAGAGGGAAAGAAATGTGAAAGGTGGTGGGTGCATGGGTGGGGGGGTGTCCTGATATATGTAAGTGTGTATAAATACATAAGTGTGTGTGTGTGTGTGTGTGTATGTGTGTGTGTGTGTGTGTGTATACACACACAAAATAGGGTCTGGCATATGGAGAATATATATATATATATTTATTTATAACCAATCTACAAAGGTAAATACATCTCAATATTTCCCAGGTTATAAAAGTTGACTATCAAAAGGAAGAATACATTTCTATGCTTAAATTATTTATATATGATACATATACATATCATATATAAACTATACATATATATATATATATATATATATAAAACTATACTATATATATATACATATATAATTTACCTCATTTTATGCTTAGGGTCCTGCTGCTAGTGGGACATAAGAATTTATGACCACATAACATCTACTCAGTTGAATTTTAAAAATTAATCAAAGCAAATAATTGTGTAGTTAGAAAAAACAAGACATGGTAATAGAAAAATTCCTATCCTATATTTGGGATCAGGCTGACTTTAAATAGTTGATAAAACTAGAGTAAAATGACTTATACATTAAACTTCTTTACATTAAAATTTTAAAGGACTCTACTAAGTCTTCATTATCTAGGCAAATATTTATAAATTGTTTCTCTATAACACCTTTGGAAGTACAATTTTTTTCTTTAAAAAAATTTTTATTGGAGTACAGTTTCCACACAATGTTACATTAGTTTTAGGTGTATAACAGTGATTCAACAACACTATATGCTTTTCTCACCACAAGTGTAGCTCTCACCTTCGCTGTACATCAGTATTACAATACCATTGACTATATTTTCTATGCTATACCTTTTATTCCCATGACTTATTCATTCCATAGGATGGAAGCCTGTGCCTCCCAATTCCCTTCACCCATTTTGCCCATCTCCCGGCTCTCCTACTTTCCATCTCTGGTAACAATAGCTTGTTCTCTGTATTTAAGGGTCTGTTTCTGGAAACACAATTTTTAGGATGAGTATCAAAAGATACACAAAAATAAGCACAGAGACTGTCATAATATAAAAGCCATATTTTAAAACATAAACGCAAGTTTACTTATACAAATGCACACATTTTATGTAAACTATATGTACATGTGAGCTATAGTTAAATCAAAGTATCTCCAAAAATAACAAACATATATTTAAGTATTTAAAATCATCTGCTTTTGTAATGTTTGTAGAATCCATACTACAGTTTTGGATATGGATTTGTGGAGGAGTGGATATGTATTGTGTATATAAAATGTTTTTTTAAAGATTAAGTTATCTAGTTACTTAAATTAGGGAAGGGAAGGAATTTTCACTCAATGGGTCAATAAACAATACTCTCCTACGTGTTTTATGTCTGTATTGGGGTAATTTCCAAAATGCTAAGATTCCCTGCATTGTTTGCACATATGTATCCGGATTGCTTCATCTTGTATATGTTCCACTCTAACATCACTGGGTGAGGAAACACACTGGGATATAATTAACAATATAAAAAAAATTGGCTACTGGGCTATCATTTAAGAGTGAATTTCTCTAGAGCAAAGAGATTAGGAGTTTTGTCAAGAAGCTGCAGAGCAAGAGATGATAAATCTTACATTTAGATATGAGGATATTGTATTTAATGTGCAAATTGCAAGCTATAATATAGTTCTTCTTCATGTATTCTTGGAAAATTTATTGTTTATATCAGCAATGCCCTTCATAAAAATATGTTTGTGAAGCATGTTTTAAGTCTTTTTATCATGGTGGCTGATAGATTATTTTTAAGGGAAGTTAGTAGTAAGAAGCCCAATTAGATGTGCATCTCTAAAAACTATAACAGGTAAAAAATTTGAAGCTGAAGTCCATTATTTCTATAGAATATAATTTAATAACTCATTATTATCTTTGGGAAGACTCTGTCAATATAATGTTGTGTTTCACATCAAGATACTTTATTTAAAATTTAATGTTATGCATTCTGCCAATGTATTTAATGGGAGACGAAGTTTTATCAATGTCCTTCAGGTAGAAAGCATTGTGTATAATCATGAAAACAAAATTAGAATTATAAGACTTGCGTTCAGGGTGTAACCTGGGTTGATATTATATGAATATTAGCAAATCACTTAACTTCTCTCAGTTTTCTATCCGTGAGATATGTGCCTAGTGATAAATTGTGCCACACAGCATTAAAGATTAAATAAAACAATATATAAAAAATACTTTAAGCTACCTAATATGCAAATGTTATGATTACTATTCTATGTTAACAAAGTATTTATTTTCCATGTATTTCACTTCCAGCTTTCTTTTTAGTGAAAAAAATATTTATATCAAAAATAATGATAATTGCCATTAAATATTTATTGAACAGATAATTAGGAGCTCATGAGAGTGATTGGCCGTATATTTCTGGGAGAGCTTTAAATTTATTCTCCTTTCTAACAGAGTAAAATATATCTCTTCCTTCTTCATATTTACCCTGTATTTGAACCTTCCTCTTCCTATCCCTAAGAATAGAGAAGAGAAAGTGGAGATCTCAGGAGAAGAGGAAGGAAATCATATTTTTTTCTTCTTTTTACTTACATGAAATCCTCAACCTCATTTATGAATAACACAAAATATGGCTCGCTAGATTATTATTCACTAAGTAGTTGCATTGATAGCAGTTATATGCAAGACTTTGAATTGTTGGGCATTTTTCACAAAAAAGCGTATTTGGAAAATACACATCCACTAAATGTAATAAATTTGGAATTTACACATTTCTTGGGATGTATATCATTATATATCTTTACAGTCAGTGGCTAAAAACTTTTGAGGCACAATTAGATCAGGATGAAGACTGGCATTTTACAGTCTTAATCATTAGCGATTAAGATTTTGTGTAGAGGAGAGAAAATTCCATATTTCTGTATAACTAAGTTAAACTAGACTATTGCTTTACATGTGAATTCATAAATACTGATTGCTTTCTTCTTTCTTTTTTTCTCACAGATTAGTTGTAAAGTATCTCAGTTCATTCATCTTTACCTGATGGGCTGTAACTACTTTTGGATGCTTTGTGAAGGCATTTACCTACACACACTCATTGTGGTGGCTGTGTTTGCGGAAAAGCAGCACTTGATGTGGTATTATTTGCTTGGCTGGGGTAAGTGCCATTATAGGTATGTGCTGCCTCACCTTTTAAGAAAGCTCTTGGGAGATGCAGAGTTCCTTTGAAATACAATTTTCCTTATTATTAATCATTCTTAAACAACATCAGGCAACTAACCTTTGATTATTGCTGTAAGTTGAAATATTTTTAAAAGTACCACTGACTCATTGTTTTCAGTAGTCAAAAGGTCAATAATACAATGTTGTTGTTTTTTTTTTTTCTATTTAATATTCCAATGTGTATCTTGGCTGAATAAGCAGTGGCTAACACAATAGAATTGGAATCATGAATTAGGGATCTAGTCTTTGTATTATTCTGAATCTCCTTATTCCTACGTGCAAAATGAGGGCATTGGGCTTAACCAGCTTTGAAGTTCCACTCTGAAAAATGTTGTTTTTTAAAAAATATCATTTTATTGTAAGGGTAGAGGGATCAGTTATTGAATAAAGGCACACAAAAGATCTATTTTTCCACACAATCTCCTGACATGGTATCATTCACAAAGCAAATAATGATACACTTTTAGCATATTTTCTTATCTTTTTCTTCTTATTTTTAAGTTTTTTTTTTAATTCTGGTTAGTTAACATACAGTGTTATATTAGTTTCAGGTGTACAATATCGTGAGTCAACAATTCCATATATCACCCAGTGTTCATCATGAAAAGTGCACTCCTTAATCCCCATCACCTACTTAAACCCACCTCCCCTCTAGTAATCATCGGTTTGTTCTCTGTAATTAAAAGCCCGTTTCTTGATTTGTGCTTCTAGCATATTTTTATTTATTTTTTTAAAGTCACATTTATTTTATTTATTTATCCTGAAAGAGAGAGAGAGAGAGAGTGTGCAAGCAGGGAAGAGGCAGAGAGAGATGGAGAGAGAGACTCCCAAGCAGGCTCTGTGCTTTCAGTACAGATCCTGCCACAGGTCTTGAACTCACAAACCATAAGGTCATGTCCAGAACCAAAAACAAGAGATAGACACTTAACTGACTGAGCCACCCAGGTGCCCCCTAGCATATTTTTAAAAATAAGTAGAATAATGCAAAATATATAATGTTTAAAATGAATTCAATTGGGCTAGTTTCCAGAAACATAACTGAAATTATACTTCCCTATCATATATCAATCTGCCTATCTATCCAGCCAGACAACAAATAGACACTGATAGATGGAGGTATGTACACACACACACACACACACACACACACTCTTTAGTATATTCAGTATATTTAGTAAGGTTGCCTTTATAAAACATTTTTTCATTTTATTTTGGAAAAATCTGATTTAGAATGGTAAAAATATACAAATATCTGATAGATATAGATATAGATATAGATATAGATATAGATATAGATATAGATATAGATATAGATATATATCATCTTTCTCTTTTTCTTCACCTGATCAGTCTCAACTTCTTCCCACATCTGACTATCTACTAAGTATTGGCCAATTCCATATCATAGAAAATATATATGAATTCTTGGGGCTCCTCGGTGGCTTAGTCAGTTGAGCATCTGATTCTTGTTTTCGGATCCTGTCATGATCTCATGGTTTTTGGGTTAGAGTCCCATGTCAGGCTCTGAGCTGACTGTTCAAGGAGCCTGCTTGGGATTCTCTCTGTCTACCTTTCCCCCACTTGCACTCTCTCTCTCAAAATAAGTAAAGAAGTAACTTAGAAAAAGAAAATCTATTGAATTCTTCTAAGTCTTGGGGCTTAGGCAGTAAAATTATGGACTTAAGCTCTGAAGTCCACGGATTCAAAATGACTTCTATTAGAAGAAACCACACACACACACACACACACACACACACACACACACACACACCTGAATATATAAATAACAAACACTTCATAATATTTATTCAATAAACATATGGTGACCAGTTATGTTTGTTCCGAGAGTACCTCGGAGTTTCGTATTTTATGACACATTTTAGAAATTCCATCTACAGAGAAAGTTGCTTGTTTATTTTCTTTTCATTTGATATTTACAGGATTTCCACTGATCCCTGCTTGTATACATGCTGTTGCAAGAAGCTTATATTACAATGACAAGTAAGATAATCTCTCTTTCTGATTTCTATTGGAACTAAGTAAAATGAAAGTCTTCAACATAATTTTCCTGTTTTTTTCCCCAAGCTGCTGGATCAGTTCTGATACCCATCTCCTCTATATTATCCATGGTCCAATTTGTGCTGCTTTACTGGTATGTAATTAAAATTTTCCTTTTTTCATGATGTTCATATTTCAACTTTATTTCCTGAATCATTTGGCCTATGATATCTTTCAAGATCCTGGGGGAAATAATGACATGTTCACAGTGTTTAATTGAAGACAGTGTAATAAAGGTGTTGTATTTGAAGTGAAGGCAGGGACAGAACAGGAGCTAATTCCTAAGGGATGGCCAGGCACCCAGGACTGGCAGTGGGAAGCTGTTAATGGGGCTAGACCCCAAGAGGGGTCAGAACAGTGTTACTGGATTTAGACCAGTGCTGGGAGGAGTGGCCCAACAGGAGGTCTTGATTTGAGTGGAAGAACACAGCCACTGCCAAAACCACAGCCTGGTAGGGAAGAAGAAGGAGGAAGAAATACCGAAACTTCTCTTTTCCTATGCCCTGATTTCTTGGTTCTTCCCTTTGGCTAAGTGCAGCAAATATCAGAGAGCAAGAAAGCTTGAACGATGATGCAATCTTTAGAGGTGCCTCTGAGTTTCCTGGGACACAGAGCAGAAGAGAAGGGCAGAGGGTATAGATGATGTGAGTAGGAATGGCAAATGGGAAAAACCCACGCACCTATGTTGGTAGTAAGAGTAATAGTCCCATAGAGAAAAGACTTTAATTTGGAAAAAGAGAGTATTGGTTAAACTATTGTTTTATTATTATAATGATCATTACTTAATATGAATACACCAATTGGACATTTTTTTTTTAATTTTTTCAACGTTTATTTATTTTTGGGACAGAGAGAGACAGAGCATGAACGGGGGAGGGGCAGAGAGAGAGGGAGACACAGAATCGGAAACAGGCTCCAGGCTCTGAGCCATCAGCCCAGAGCCCGACGCGGGGCTCGAACTCACGGACCGCGAGATCGTGACCTGGCTGAAGTCGGACGCTTAACCGACTGCGCCACCGAGGCGCCCCAATTGGACATTTTTAAGTGTGGTTACAATGAAACAGAAGTCACATTCAATGCTTTTATTACATTGTTTCAATAGGGAAATAAATTAATCCAGATTAACACACTTTTTTTTCGTATAGCATTAGAGACCAGAATGTAATTACACTCTCTGAGATGGTAATTACAACTGATACTCAATTATATATAAAAAGATAAAGGTGGTATGTTTCTCAGCCAAAATTCAGAGCTTCCTAAACCTTGTTTTCAAATGCTTTGTTTTAGACAAATATTCTTCTATTATTTTACTACATTTGCTAGCTGTAGGTTAGTATATTATTATGTTTGAACACTGTTCAAGCCATTGTCGAAAACAAGTCACAATTAAGAGGGAAACTTCTGGAGGCTGAAGGCCTGGGCTTGAACTCCTTTTCCACCTCTGACTGGCTGTATGACCCCAGGCAATTAAACTAATTACATTGTGTCTCCAGTCCTTCCCTGGTAAAATAAAGAATATTATAGTACTGATTTTTAAATCCTTTTAACAAAGAGTTAAATGAGGTAATACATATACAGTACTTAGCCTGGCATGTATAAAGCACATAACAAATGTCAAACCTCTGACTTGACAGCCAGTTCAAAAATTAACACATGGAATTTATTATATCATTTATGGAAGTTTTAATATACTGTAATGTAGACTCTAGTGAGAATTTCATAGGCAGAAACATTTCCTTCCCTTCTGCCCTGCACCTACTGGGGACATGCACGACACACTGTGTTTAAGTTGTACCTTGAGATATCCTAGTATTCTTTGAAAGAGCCTGCACCGGAACCTAGTTCTACCACATCTGGCTGGGTATCTCAGGGCAAGTTCTGCTTTGTTTTGTTTTGTTTTGTATTTAACCTCTCAGTGCATTTGTTGTCTCTTCCATGATTAGGGAATAATAAGAATGGATACCTCAGGTTATTGTAAGAATTATATGAGATGCATCCTGCTAACCCAGTGCCTACAATACAAAAAAAAAAAAAAAAAAAAAAGTACAAACAAAAAAAACAAAACAAAACAAAAAACTGTCCAAAGAAAATGCTTTAAAAAGTTTCTTATAACTTCTACATAATACTCTCATTCTGTTCTGAGGAGAGTTAGAAGAAATAAGACACGTTTTGGGGCCACCCAGGAGGTTACAGAACATAAGGCAAAATTTATTACAAGAGATCTGACTATTCTGCAAAGGGGTATTAATTCAAATGCTTAAATCAGAGAGGTTCAGGAAATAAGTAAAGGAACCTTAGCAAATGAAAAATGTAATCGTAACTAACAAAATCCTTAGAAAAGCCTCTCCACATCCGTTTTGGGAGGGAAGAGTAGATGGTACAGCTAGGGTAGAATATCACATAGAAATATAACCCATCTACTCTGTAGGAAAGGAAGTGAAAATCCACATTATTTGCATAAAACTTTTTCCATTTTCTTGGCTTAACAAAACAGCAGGAGCCTATTTTTCTACCAGGATAAATTGTTCTGTCTGTTTAATTTCGATGGCTCCTCACTGGTTCTGGCCAATTCCAAGGTCTTGGGAGGGGACTTAGCAATTGTTTATATGGTCACATGCTTAAGTACATTTTTTATAAATAAAATATTTCAACCTCAATCGGTTTCTTTCCACTCAGACTTCCCCTGTCACATTTCCCCTTGAGCTGGGTGGAATTCAAGTGGCTACAGCACTTTTGAGATCCTGCCAAAGGGAAGCTGAGAGGGGATACATTTAATTTGTGTTTAGTGAGAGATATTTAAGTCCGTTCAGTACATAGTTAAGTGATTGCTGGCTGTTCTACTATCGGAATGGCTTGTAGGAATCCTCCAACAGCTACAGTGCTGATGCACCCTGTTTCCCAGGGTGCTACCGTGATATGAAAATGTCCTGTTGTGCCTACCAGCTATGTGATCTTTATGCATATTGGAGTAAAAACAAGTTTCTTTTCTTTACCTTAACTAGTTTTGCGCTAAGATACATGAGATTTAGACCTGGTTCGTCTGAAATGTAAAATTCTTGTTCTATTCTTATTCAAAATAAATGGCAGTATTTGCAGAAAATAAAGTAGGGAGACTTTCTAGTTTCCCGTTTCACATTTTAAATTAGATTTGCCATTTTGGAGAAGCAGTTTGCAGTTAGAAATTTTCATTTAATGGACACCTAAATTGCAGCATTTCTACTGATTTTATAATTTATGATTTTCTCTGTAAGGATTATAAAATATTTTATATTCTAAATTTATAAGCAGATAAAGGGCATTATTATATTTTCTTCTACGGACTGGTAGTGATTTCCATTTAATCAACACTTTTAAACAGCAATGAGTATTTAGGAAGGGAATATAATAAGAAGGGTGGAATAACAGCTGATGTGTTGATTTGTCATGTTTCCTTCTTACACCTGTTGAAATGGCTTATTCTGCTTTTGTCTTTAGCAGAGATATTCCTGTGTCTATAACTCATGTTACTTTTCATAGACGTGTTTCCATCAGGGTTGTAGTGAGCTGTATATCTTTGGAGCATATGTTCCATTGGATTCTCTAAGAATAGTAGTAGGATATTTTTATGCCCAGTTATTTTCATAACACATGCCTTAAATCAGCAAAAGCATTTGTTCACTGTTTTCTGTATTAAATGAGATGCTATAATTACTATTCCAATTTATTAAAGTATGCAGACATAAAGTATGTATGTATGTAGCTTAAAAGTTTTAGATTATTAAAGCACAGATCCTAGAAGTCAGGGTGAAGAAAAAGGAAAGAGAACATAGCATAATAGCATAAGAGTCCTGAGGGGCTCTTCTGGAGTTAATGCCATTAATCCTATGGGAGGCATAAATATGGGCACAGAGAAAAATAGTCAAGTGTAAAAGATTTTGACTTAAATGAAGATAAGAAAGTGGTATTCAACCTGAGAGAGAGAGAGAGAGAGAGAGAGCAAAAGAGAGAGATATATTAAAGTAGAACTCTGTCCATTGCCTGAGTAACTTAGTTATCCATGCTATATTTTGATGTTTTATGTCTCCCTTTCAAAAAGAATGTTTTGTCTTGGGGAAAGTTGTTAACACACAGCAAATATGTAATTACAGAAAGAAATTAACAAAAGTCCCTGTGGGATGCCAAAATTATTTTATCTCTAGGATTATCTGGGTTGAACATCAGCTGATTTAGTGTGTGACCAGCCTCCTCAGAATGATAAAGAAGCTTAAAATACTATACTGGGGAGTTATGAGGATTATTGCTACAAAAAGAAACACAGGAAGAAGGAACCAAAAAGATGAAAATGGTTATTTTGTGGTAGAATATGTATTTGGAAAGTTCCAGTATGGGTAGTGATACAGAGGAGATACTTTAAAAAATTAGCATTTGTCATAAACAATTCTTTCCTTTGAGCTGAAAATGTTGAAAAGATTTAGTTTTTGGACCACAGTGAAATTTTTAAAAATTACATAAGAAAATGAATTGATAAAAACACTCATATATTTCTTAACTGAAGGTGTTCTACACTAATTCTGCCGTAATTTTATTTTTCTAAAGCCTAGGTCCATTAAAGTTGATGTACTTGTTAAGTTAATAAATCACAATTGTAGAAATACAAGTTAATATATTGGACATATATTCTCTGTAGTAGAACATATTCTTGTACGTTGAAAATAATCTAAGATTGGGGCTCCTGGGTGGCTCAGTCAGTTAAGCATCTGACTTGGTCTCAGGTCATGATCTCACGGTTTATGAGTTCAAGCCCAACGTCAAGTTCTGTGCTGACAGCTTAGAGCCTAGCGTCTGCAGATTTTGTGTCTCCCTCTCTCTTTGCCTCTCCCCTGCTTGCACTGTCTCTGTCTCTCTCTCAAAAATAAACATTAAAAAAATAAATAAAAGAATCTAAGATTTATAAATTCAAGGATCCTTCAAAAATGCTTCTTAATATTAAATATGAAATAATTTTCATGATGTCATTTTATTTTTTTAGGTGAATCTTTTTTTTCTATTAAACATTGTACGTGTTCTCATCACCAAGTTAAAAGTTACTCACCAAGCGGAATCCAATCTCTACATGAAAGCTGTCAGAGCTACACTTATCCTGGTGCCATTACTTGGCATTGAATTTGTGCTGCTACCGTGGAGACCTGAAGGAAGGATTGCAGAGGAGATATATGATTACATCATGCACATCCTTATGCATTATCAGGTATGGTGCTCTTGAATCAGGAAGGCAGCTTGTGAAATTTGGTATTAAATTGCATGTGGCTTTGGTTTTAGTCTTAACTGTGTACATAGCAAGTTGGTGACAAATAATGTATCTTTTCCATCTGGAGTCAGAAAATTCTATTTTTCTTTTTCAGGGTCTTTTGGTTTCTACAATTTTCTGCTTCTTTAATGGAGAGGTATGCGTGATTGTTTTTATTCCTTTTACCATTTTATATTTGCAATGTATCTTTTCCTTAAAAAGACAGAGAGAGAATCACACATTCCCTAGGAACAACTACTTCAAATTCCATTTTGATCAGGAAAAAGAACCACAGGATCTCTTTTCATGGATGTAACTCTTCTACCCAAAAGCTTGGGTCATACTGGAGTTCAAGAGTAGGGCAAAATCAGCCTCACTTTAAAAGAGACTACCATTTACTTTGATTTATCTAGTCTTTCACCTACTATTTGAAAGAATCCTTTTTAAGTCTGGCCTTTGTCCTAGGTCCAGTGCTAGGCAATCCACACCCTCATAAAACATACACTGTAATATGAAATAGATTTGACTCATTTTCATTTCCCCCCTTTCTCTATTTTTTTGTTTTGCCTAGCTCACAATGTGGTCTTTGAAAATAGTTTTCTGGTGGTTACAAGAAGATATGAAAAAAAATTAAACTCTCAGTTATACAGGGAGGACATGCAGTAAGTTAGAAAACTTCGGAGAAGAGAATGCTTTAATTTGTAACATGGCAACATGCTCTTGGATATTTCAACATTTTTATCCTAGGCTTCCCTAAGTGGAAAGTTTCAGGTGTTTTACAAACTGGTACCATATTTCTTATGCATATGAATAGTGTTATGGCTCAGTGGTTTGAGCTATATTGATTTAGCTCTTTATCTGTTTTTAATCTACCGGACAAGTTTTAATCTGTTAGAGGATTGGAAAACTCAGCAAAATTAGAAATCTAGAGAGCCACCGAGTGAGACTCAAATACTTGGTAACTGTGAAGCTTATCACAAAGCTTCAGATGGGAAATATGTCAACCAGTTTGGTATAACTTTATGAGAACTATTCCTACAAATAAATCAACATTGGAAATCATGTACATGTCATGAAAATCTATAAAATATTGGCTTTCTTTGCTTAATAAGAATTTATTTCTTTCTCAGCAAATAATGAAATTTCATGTTTGATTTTATCAAATTGATTTTTAAAAATTTTTATTTCACTTAATTATTTATATTGGAGTGTAGAACTGTCAAACATGGGAGGCTATATTTCATATCTTTAGGTGGTGCTTCCATGATGCTTCTGCTATATAGTAGACAATGGTGACTCTTTCTGAAGTAGATGAGAAGCATAGATAGAATATGAAATTAGGAAAAATAGAGAAATCAATTGTTTTGATAATAGAATTCAAATAGCATTGATTATGTACCTCTATTAATTTATGACTGCATAAACTGAATTAGACAATCCTATTTGCTGCCAATATAGGATTTTACAGTTAAAGGTAGATGAGAAAGAAATAGACAACAAGCCAAAGAACATGCATGGAATATGAACAATACACCTCTGCATCTGCAGAGACATGACATATTATTCTAAAGGGTAATTTTTAAGTGTACAAAACATAATCACTAGTAGAATATTTTGTGATAGGAAGCAATGTAGAATAAAAGCACAGACACAGCAATGCATTTAAACCCCCAAAATGCTACTTTGTTCCTGGATGTAATAATTTGGGCAATATTCTGAACCTTCTGGAGTCTTGGTGTCTACTTTATTAAAGGAGTTAAAAAAAAAAAAAAAAAGCAAGTTCCTTACACAAGTCTCACAAAGATTAGTATAGGCTCGGAATCTAAAATTTTATCACCATGCCCCACCCTCAACAGATTATCAGTACATTATAGATTCCTTATTAGATCTTTCAAGTCATTTATTTTCAAAAATATATGTACAAGTAGGAGCATTAATCATTTTGGAATCAATCTCAAATTGGCCTTTTTATTTGGAAAGGTTGCTCAGGGAATATCTAAACTAATGCCTAACAATCTTGTTGCACTCTCTGTGTGTAAGCAAAAGAGACAGAGACCTTGATCTTCTGCCATGTCCTAAAATTGAGAAAATTTTGGCAGCAAAAAATTACAATAATACAAAATCTTTGAGCCTAGTTGTTGCCAAATCCTTCGGTTCTTTACAACATCTCCAATATCTGTCCCCTTTTCTTCATCTCTCAAGATGCAGTCTCTATTTGTGGATGACTCATTTTTCATCTTAGGAAATACTATAATCCCTCCTTTTTTGTCCTTTTGCCTCTTAGTTTTTCCCACTCTCATAACATGAAGACACAGCTGCCAAATTCATTTTGTGTTGTTCCAACTATGTCATGTACTTCTTAAAATCACTTGCTCCGGCTTAAATCTCCTTCTTGCTTTCCACGGGAGGTCAAATAGCTTCCTTTTAGCTTAGTCTTTATCTTTTTCTTTTCTTTCTTTTTTTTTAAGTAACAATTTTATGTATTTTTTTATCCAAAATATTCCTATTTGCATTTCTCACTAAATAATGGTGGCTTGACAAATTATCAGACCACATTCATCTCATCTCTAGCCCACTCAGATAAAATGTGCACTGTTAGCACAAACTAGAGCTCTTGTCATTAGAAGGGCCCTCCCTTGCCTCAGGTGTAAATCGAACAATATCTGAGAGTATTTTTATAAAGTGAACAAAAAGATTTATTGATAATAATCAAACCTACATTCTGTAATGAAAACTAGGTAGCATTTTTATATGAAGCTCTATTAAATATTTTTTAATTGATTTAGGATAAGGAGTTATAGTTTCCTTATGAAGCGCTAATGGGCATATAATGTTGTAAGGTTATATTCTAAACAGTGGGATTTACTATTTATATAATACTCATGTGTAAGGCAATAAAAAACATTTTCATATCTTTAACGCCTTCCCTTCCAATGTCAATTTTCCTTGTTATCTCTTCCCATCATAATTTTTTCATTAAAAGTGTACTAAGAGTGGTCACTTTAATGTTCTGTTGAATAGATGTGATATATATTAGAGGAAGCAGATGAAAAACTTAAGTCCTTATAGAGAATAATATAAACAAAAGGATGTCTACAAGGCCCATAGGTCTTTAATTAGGTTCATTTTTTAACTTCGGTAAAATGGTCCCCACAGTTCAGGAAATTGACCTTTCATGGCTTTTCTGATGATTTAGTTGCAAGGAAGAAATAGGGTGATGATTGTAATCAAAGCAGATATTTCAAGAGCAAACAGATATTTCAAAAGGCATCTTGGCTGTTGTAATTTAATTTAAGCTTTCATTTTTAAAAAAGTTATACATTCACAGCTATGATATTTCTTCTTGTCAACTTCTTCCCAACATTTATGTAGAATCTTTTGTATATAGCTACATTCCATTTCCTTTCAAACAGAAACTATATAGGAAAGATATTCAGTCAATCCATCATTTAGTAGCAAAGGGAAGAGAAATGAATTTAGCATAAAATAAGGATCAAAACCAATTCCCATCAGGAATATCTAGATAATCTGCCCAACGTCATTTTTGTTGTAAATCTTTGAATATTTAAAAGGCACATTCTAAAACCATTTTCATCTGTTGTTTGCTTATGCTCTTGAAGACACTATGTATGCAGATATTATTTAAAATTACTTTATTTTTTAAGTGTTATTTATTTTTGAGAGACAGACGGAGTGCAAGCAGGAGAGGGGCAGAGAGAGAGGGAGACAAAGAATCATAAGCAGGCTCCAGGCTCTGAGGTGTTAGCACAGAGCCCAACACAGATCTCAAACCCACAAGTTGGATGCTTAACCAAAAGGTGACAGATATTGACCCACCCAGGTGCCCCTATTTTAAATTGCTTTAATTTAAATATGCTATTTGGAGAATTAAGAAAGACATTACTAAACCATGAGGGAAACAAAATATGATTTTTTTTGCAAGATAAATATATTCATTGTCCCATAAAGGCTTTTATTTCTTTATTTGTGTAAGAATATAAATTATTCCTTTCCAGCATAGTTAATATATATAAAGAAATAAACTTGAAAGTCCTGAAGAATATATATAAAGAAATAAACTGGAAAGTCCTGAGGTTGTGAATTTCATAAAATACAATTTTTAAAACCAGTTTATTGCATTTCTAATTACATAATTTTTAAATTCTACAATAGAGCTACCCGAAATTTTAGTAACTCATTTGGAATTCTAACTAAAGAAACCCATTGACTTTAGGGAGTCCCTGGGTGGCTCAGTCAGTTAAGCAGCCAATTCTTGTTTTTGGCTCAGGTCATGATTTTCATGGTTCATGAGTTCAAGCTTCACATCAAGTTTTGTGCTGACACTGCTGAGCCTGTTTAGGATTCAGTCTCTCCCTCTCTCTCTGCACCCCCCACCCCCAGCTCATGCTCTCTCTCTCTCTTTCTCTCTCAAATAAATAAATAAAACTAAAAAAAAAGAAACGGTTTGACTTTCTATTTGTGTCTTCTGTTTTTCTACATTCTATTTGTGTCTTCTGTTTTTCTACATGCTAAAACATAAAGTGAGACAGTAAAACTTTATGTCCATTTTAAGTGACAGAGAACAGGAGACTCAAAGGACTTTGAAGTATCCCACTGAGTTCTCTCATTAAAAGATCTCCTGGGAATAGCTATTAGTAATAGATTGTTCATAATTTGGAGATGTTTTCTTGATCTATTATATAAAACAATGAAGACTTAACTAAGCCATCCTATTTTAAAGTTTAATATTAATTTTTACACATGATTACAGTGAATGAAAAGTTGGGGGATTTTATATATTAGCAGAAAGTTAAACAATTATTGCATTAGTATGTTTCTAGTACATGGATGACTGGAAAGTTGCTTTTAGTGATGCTCAAATTCCCTGTGAGGAAGCAAAGGGTCAAAGAGCAGTAGATAGTGTGGGGAAGACAGTTCAAAGCTATGCATATGTTTTGGACAGATCTGGATTAGGTCACAGGGATGTGGCTATTACACTCGTAACCTAGGAGCAGAGTCCCACACCAGTGTGCCCAATCATCAGACACCTGGAAACAGCCAGGTTGCCAAACTGGAGATGTATTTGAATATTCTCATTTCCACTCACTGACTCAGTATGAAGAAAATCACCTTTGTGTGTCATGTTCGATTCAAACCTAGGTCACTATATATGGCCTACAAGTCCTGATCTCTAGCTTTAGAGGAGAAGGAAGCCAGTTGACATCAAATTCATCCAGTCAGAGGGAGATCCAAAAACAAAAAAAAAGTGGAGTGGTAACATTCCTAAACGTTTCACAGGCTCATCTCATTTGTCATTACCTGTTGAATGCTTTCTTCCCTCTGGCTAGTAAGCCTCAGGAGGACAAAAACCCTGATCTTTTTTTTCCAGAATGTAGCACAATACCTGGCATGTGTTAATCACTCCGTAAAAACTAGTTGCTGCTGCTGTTAATGATGATGATGATGATTTATATTCCTTGTTTCCCTAACTTCTTTTTCTTTTATACTTCCTCTCTTCTTTTATACTCTAATTATCTTTTCATTCTATTATTTAAGATACTGATATAAAAGTAAATGTTACACACACAATCTTACAAAAGGGGGTCTGGATTAACTACTTGTTTGACCATAATATATTCATATGCATTATTAAAGCTTCAAAGATAAGGCATGAAAAAAATATCGAGGGAATCTAAAATAAAGAGCAAGGCAACGAATTTCCTAACTGTAAATTTCCTAATGTTTCCAATTTAATGTTTTAATTTAAAAAAAAAGCAATATTATTCACGAATTAACATCAATGCTTTTGGTTTTTCTAAAGTTTTACATAAATTATTCTATTGTACTTTTAAATACAGTATCTTTATTTCAGATAATGGATTGCTCTTGTCCTTTCTGTTTCTTTTTGATTGATAGGTTCAAGCAATTCTGAAAAGAAACTGGAATCAATATAAAATCCAATTTGGAAACAGCTTCTCCCATTCAGATGCTCTTCGCAGTGCGTCTTACACAGTGTCAACAATCAGTGATGGTACAGGATACAGTCATGACTGTCCCAGTGAACACTTAAATGGAAAAAGCATCCACGATATTGAAAATGTTGTCTTAAAACCAGAAAAGTTATATGATTGATAATAGAGGGAATACTGTTTAACTATTTTGGGTCACTCCTAACTCAAGGACTTGGATCCATGACTTTACAACCAGAAGACTTCAGTATAAAATGAATTTCTTGAATGCCACAAACGCCTCACATCAATTCAGTAGCATATTGTTAAATGTTTAACAACTAGCCCTTTGGGAGGGGAAAAAACCCCTTGATTTGTAATGTTTTTCCAGTTTCTATGGTGTATTCCCACCAGGGCTAATTTCGGTCTACCAGTCTGACATCACTGAATGTGAAACTGGGAAAAGATGAGGACAGTCAACTCTTGTAGGCTGGTATGTGCCAGCTCTAGTACACCACTGCACGAATTCACATGTGAATAAGACTGTAAAGTTCATATACGCATCGGGCATGATTCTACTCTTGTTGGCTAAACAGGCCTAGCTGAGGCCTATAGACTTAGAGGGAAAATTAACTTTTCATTTGTTTGTTTTAAAAATCTTCATCCCGTATTCATTGGTGCAGTTGATTTTTTTTTAACCAAGTAGGTATTCTAACCCTTTTTGTATTTACCCTTTCAAATGGACTGCATAAAGAGGTCATTATTTCTGTTGGCTTAACCACTTCTCCCCAAGAAAAGCAATAGAGTAGAATGGTATTGGCTACTCATTGGCTGATACATCACAGTTATATCCAATGTCATATCTGTTTTTGAGGTTTGATGAATAGTATGTCAGACATACAATCCTACTTTGGCATCATCAGGGGGATATCTTGGTTGATATTACAAAGCATCCTTGTCAGCTACTTTCCTATCTTACTACACAAGTGGGAGGGAATCAGTTTCCCTGTATCTGTAAATAGAAACTTTGCCCCTTCCATTTCTACTGTGTAGACAAACTGGCAATTATTTTACATGAAGGAAATCAGTGAAGGATTTCTTATTTTCTTGGAAGTTTGTAAAAAAAAATTTGTTATGAAAAATAAGCTTGTAAATACTCTTGTTATTCTATTTTATAGTCTGAAATCAAATGTGTACAACCTAGGTAAGTTTTTAAAAAAACAAATACATAATGTAACAATGTATGCATGTTAATATCTGATACTGTGTCTGGGCTGATTTTATAATAAAATAGAGTCTGGAATTCTATATTTGGTAAATATTTTAAAGACAACCAGATGCCAGCATCAGAAGGTTGTTTGAGAACCAAGAGAACAGAAATATCTATGATAAGATATAAAATATTTATTTAAAAAAATCAAGCCATTGTTTTATTATATTAGCTTAGGTGATGCTTTCATACCTTAATAATAGGTATGTTTGACATATTTCTTCTTTTATTTTGACGATGAAGTTGCATTCTAATCCAGTAACGTTAATGGATTCCTATAGTAAAAAATGCCAATCTGCCATTCTTATGGTTTTCACACCATTAAAAATATTACTTTTCTGACGCTTACTGCATAAACATTTATGGCTTTGAGAGTGTTCAGACTTTTTAAAAAATTAGAGGAATAGAATATATATACATATATATCATATACAATGCTTTATTAGAGCTACTATGATAATATGATACCAGAAATCAGTGAAAGACTTGAATACATCAGTGAAGAAGAATTGTCAGAACATTTAGGGAGTAATTAAATTAAGATGGAAGAAAGCCTTGCTAATGAATTAAAGTGACATTTAAATGGGATTCAGTTGTTCCCCTAATGTTATTTTCCACTGGAATTTCTGAAAAACAAAAATGCCTTCAATTAGTAAAATTCAATTTGAGGAGGACAAGTTACTATGTGTATGTGCTTTTCTAGTGTGTCAATTTGCTTAAAGTGGATTAAACTAATGACTGAGTAATCATAGATTCTTTCTTAACTGTCAATAGATTGTGAGTTCCGAAGTCATTTGTAATTGTCCAGGAAAATTATCTACATTAGTAAGAACTAACAGATTAAATGGCTTGGTCAATATATTTATAATTCATCTGTACACATGCAAAGATTTTGTCGTTTGTTTCTAAATTTATGGATTTTACAGCAAGCTGTCACAGGAAGGAATGCAGGCTGTTCTAGACTTGCCACTGTCTAAATAATACAAAAATTCCTTTAAATAAACTCACTGTTTAGCTACTTATTCTTCAAAGATTCAAATCCTTTGCTTCATACTGCTCACATATTTCCACATTCTTCCAGACAAACTGTCAAGTCTCAACCATAAATGACAGTAGAAAATTCTGTCTGTCAAATTCTCCATGAGCATTACAGTAAAATTTTACTGTCATTTTCCAGTGTTTCTTTTATTCTGTTTTTTTTATCATATTAAATTTAGATCAGATTTCTTTTATGGCTCATAATTGTTTAGTGCACAGTTTTTAGATGAAGGCAGCCAATAATTACTCAGTTTTGTAGCCATATTTTCTTATGAGTAATATTTTCAAATATTAGACTTCTCTAAAGCTGAAGTGATAACTAGGATCTCCTTTATATCTTACTTATAAAGAAAAGATAAAATAAATACTTTTTAAAGCCAAATTTTGGGGGCAGCTAAACACTAATTTGGGGAATTTCTACCTTTCAGAATACAGATCTGCTACTTTTCTGTAAGTACTTGTGTAAGTCAGATTTTCATTTAAAAATTCTAGTTTATCCTTTTTCATTTTCTAAAGTTATTTTCCAGTGAATTCATTCATAAAATATCCATTCTGGAATTTGGTGTTTGCTCAAATGTAACACAGTGTGTACATAGTATTAGTGGTAGGTGTAGTGCTGTATTTATTGGCTTAATAATTTTTTTTAAGTGTGAACTTCATTGTCTTTTGGTTTTAACCTCCTAATAGAAACCACCACTTATTTTATCTGTAAGTCACAAACAAGATATTTTGATCACTTAAAATAAGTCATATTATGTCTACTTAATGTACATCTCTATTTTTTGATTGTATGAAAACATTAAAGTTATGAGTTAAAGTTGATTTTCACGCATGTGTACTGAAGTGTTGAATAATTTATACACATAACTGTTTATAGCAGTCAGTGGAATACTACTAAAATCAATGACTATATCTCTTTTTCCCTCTTTAAAATCTACAATAAGCCAGTAAAACATCCCATAAACCAATTTTTTAAATATTATGAATTTGAAAAAAATTGTGAATTTGTTTTTCAAGCTAGAAAACTCTAAAGAAATAAAATTCTAAATAAGTATTCAAATTCCTTTCTAGGCTGAAAGAAGGGAAAGGATGCCCAGAAAGAGGAAAATGTACAGGAATTTCTCTCCTTTCTCCATCATGTTCCATTGTGTAGTTTTGTATTGAACAGAGGAAAGAAAAAGAAGGAAAATAACTATTTAGGGATAATTTTAAAAGGGGGAATAATCATGACTCACAAATATTAAATGAAAATGTGTCCCAGATTTTGGTTAGTTCTTTCATTATTGACGGAACAATATATCACAATTCATGGAAAAATTCAAGTATCACTTATATAGAAGAATATATGTTGAAATGAATTTATAAATAGATGCTCTATTCTTATGGCAATAATCAGTTACGTTCTATTGAATAACTAGTATGTATTTCTATAATCGAGAATAAATGTACATCATTATCAATTTTATGCAACTAACAAATCTGTAAAATAGCTCAAAATAATGAAAGGTAGAGATAACCTAAAAGGATGTACGAGAAAGTACTAGAAAAGACACTTCAATGACTCTAACATATATCTTGCCTATATAATGAGAAAGCAATATGTTGCACATGCAATAAGTACAATAAATATTTGTATGTATGTACATATATACATATATATAAAGAGAGATGAGGGTGTCTGGGTGGCTCATTCGGTTAAGCCTCTGACTCTTGATTTCAGCTCAGGTCATAATCCCACGTTTTGTGGGATTGAGACCTGCGTCAGGCTCTGTGCTGACAGTGTAGAGCCTGCTTGGGATTCTCACTCTCTCCTTCTCTCTATGTTCATCCCAAGCTCATGTGCACAGCCTCTTTCTCTCCCTCTCTCTCCCTCTCAAAATAAATAAATACACTTAAAGTAAAAAAAAGGGGGGGATGATAGCTATGGACACCCCTTGAATGCTATTCTAAGCAGTAGGAGAATTCAGAAATATAGCAACACACAAAGTAAATGTGCACAGATACATATTTCCCATATACACATATAACAACCAGGTAGACGCCCAGTAGGGTAAAAAGGAGCAAATTTGTAACAGCATCAAGAGAAGGTAAAATAAATAGGAACAACTTAAATAAGAAATGAGTGAAATACATTTCAATACTACAAACAATCACAATAGAAGACATCAATCAGTTCATGGAAAAATACATGATGTTCTTGAAGAAGAAGATCACCATAAAGATGTCAATTTTCCCCTAAAAACTACATTGTAAGTATATATGATCCAAATAAAAATAATGGTAGTTAATTATTTTGAGACCAGACATGATGATTCTAAATTTCATAAATAGTCATGAAAGCTCTAAACAAGTGTGTATGGGGGAGGGGGGGAGAGGAGATAAGCCTTGACATATTTTGTACCCTAACAGTTAAAACAGTGGTAATGTCACATGATAAAAAGAGAGAATGGGGGAGAAGAAGTGTCTAGGTCACTCTTTTTAATATTTTGCTGGAGACAGAGCCAAAAATGATAATCCAAACAGGGAGTAAAATGACATTATCACCCAGAAAATCATGAATTCATTCTGTCTTACTCCCTCTTCTTTACAAACATGCCATCCCTGGAATACCAAATGTAAGAAATGGGCTTATTAACAAGTTACATGACTGGTATGGTTGCTGTCTTGTCTTTAAAAAGGCAAATGTGTTGAAATCATCACCTGGCAAGTATAGATGTCTGTAGAAAAAAACCATCCTTGTTAATTTTTGACTGGGAAAGAAGTGAAGATGCCAGTTGTCTCTTTCAAGCTACAAGTAAAAGCCTAGAATTTCACTGATATTAGATTCAGGGATGTTGAACCATCCCTCTGGAAAATCTAGGAGTACTAAAACCCCAAGGAACACCCCTTAGCCCACACTTACAGCAAAGTTGAATGGATATTCTATCGTTTCTAAATTCCATCTACAGGGGCGCCTGGGTGGCGCAGTCGGTTAAGCGTCCGACTTCAGCCAGGTCACGATCTCGCGGTCCGTGAGTTCGAGCCCTGTGTCAGGCTCTGGGCTGATGGCTCAGAGCCTGGAGCCTGTTTCCGATTCTGTGTCTCCCTCTCTCTGCCCCTCCCCCGTTCATGTTCTGTCTCTCTCTGTCCCAAAAATAAAATAAACATTGAAAAAAAAAATTTAAAAAAAAATAATAAATTCCATCTATATTCTTTTCCTTCAGACCTCAACTGGAAGGTATTTCTCTGGCTTGCTGAATTCCCAAATATTTTTATCATGTAATTTTATTTTAAGAAGTTTCTTAATTTTTTCTATTTCACTTTGTCCTTTTTGGGGAGCCTGGGTGGCTCAATCGGTTGAGCGTCCAACTTCAGCTCAGGTCATGATCTCACTGTTGGTGGGTTTGAGTCCCGTGTCGGGCTCTGCACGGACAGCTCAGAGCCTGGAGCCTACTTCGGATTCTGTCTCCCTCTCTCTCTGCACCTCCCCCCTCGCACTGTGTCTGTCTCTTGAAAATAAATGTTTTTTAAAAAAATGTCTTTTCAACTTTCCTTTGATCTCTTTAATTTAAAAAACATTTATTTTATTTTTTTTAAAGTAGGCTCCACACCTAGTGTGGGCTTGAACTCATGACCCCAAGATCAAGAGTTGTATGCTCTAACAACTGAGCCAGCCAGGCACCCCTCCCTTGACCTCTTTATCTTAGCTCAGGCTATATACTATATTCTATCCCATTATTGTCAAAAATTTTCTGGAAACACATTAATATATCTAATCTCCAGTCTGTTATTGTTTATTTCATGTCTTAGTCTGCTCAGGCTCCATAATAAAAAATACAACAGATGGAGTGGCTTAATCAACAGAAATTTATTTCCCACAGTTCTACAGGTTGAGAAGTCCAAGATCATAGTGCCAGCAAGGTACCAAGATCAAAGTTTCATTCTGAAGCCTCTTCTTGAGGCTTGTAGACAGCTGCCATCTTGTTGTGCACTTATGAGACTTCTTTGGGCAAGTGGAGAGAAAATGAGAGAGCAATATATCTTTCTTCTTATAGGAATACTAATCATATTAGGTCGGGGCCCCACTTTTATGACCTCATTTAACCTTAATTACTTCTTTGAAGGTCCAATCTTCAAACATTGGGGGTTAGAGCTTCAATATTAATTGGGGGGGGGGACACAAACATTCAATGCATAACACTCTTTTATTTCATCGCAAGGTCTGTATACTACTCATTACTTCAAAATAAAGGAAACAAAATACAACAACAAAACTCAAATTTACACTTGTCCTGTAAATCAGATAATGCTTCCTTTTCTGAAATAGGACTTCTGTAAAAGTTATCTTATTGCCTAAGTCTAGTTCCAGAAAGTTGTTGATGGCTGTCTTCTTGATCTGCTTTCTTCATAGGATATCATCCAGTTTCCTCACAAACTTCTTCCTCCTTAAAGTTCATTTAGGTCACTTTAGCCTTTTATTTCTTCATGCTCATGTCACAAATGCAGCCAGAGTCATTTTTCTCCTTTTGATTTTGTGTCCAAGAAGCTTGCCCAGCTGTGTGTGTCTTTTAGTTTTAGTGTTATTGACTCCTACAAAGTTTTGGTAAGAATGCTTTTCATTTCCAATAATATACAAAGAGCTACTTTTTTAAATATTTATTTATTTCTTTTGAGAGAGAAAGAGAGAGAGGATCAGGGGAGGGGCAGAGAGAGAGGGAGACAGAGAATCCCAAGCAGGCTCCTCACTGTCAGTACAGAGCCCGATGTGGGGCCTGAACTCATGAACTGTGAGATCATGACCTGAGCCAAAATCAAAAGTCAGATGCTTAGGGGCTCCTGGGTGGCTCAGAAGGTTGAGCGTCCGACTTCTGTGCAGGTCATGATCTCAGAGTTCATGAATTTGAGTCCCATGTCAGGCTCTGGGCTGACAACTCAGAGCCTGGAGCCTGCTTCAGATTCCTTGTCTCCCTCTCTCTCTGCCCCTCCCACCCTCATGCTCTGTCTC